TACATTGCAGAGTCACTTGTTTGCACAGAACTGCTTAATGCCTCAAATGACGTAGTGGAAGTTTTAGCAGTAAAGGTCGAGAACCAAAACCTAGTCATTGTGGTAGTCTACAAGCCTCCGGATGCAACTTCCCAGCAATTCCAGGAACAGCTGTTAAAAATTGACCACTGTCTGGAAAATCTTCCAGCTCCTGCACCCAACATCTTGCTCCTGGGGATTTCAACTTAAGGCACCTAAAATGGAGGAATATAGCAAATAATATTGTTGCAGAAATAACACCAGGAGGCAGCTCTGATGAAAACTCACACTCACACGAGCTTTTAAATCTCTGCACAAAATTCAATTATACCAGCAAATAATAGAGCCTACTAGACTGGAGAATACTCTAGACCTCATATTCACTAACAATGATGATCTGATAAGAAATGTCACCATATCAAAAACAATATACTCAGATCACAACATAATTGAGGTTCAGACATGTATGCGTGGAGCCCCAGACCGACAAAATGAGACTAGTCACGAGGGAGCATTCACCAAATTCAACTTCAATAACAAAAACATAAAGTGGGACCAAGTAAACCAAGTCCTAACCGATATAAGCTGGGAAGATATACTAAGCAACACAGACCCAAACTTATGCCTAGAACAGATTAACTCGGTGGCACTCGATGTATGCACAAGGCTTATTCCTCTAAGAAAAAGGAGGAGTAGATGTAAAATAGAAAGAGACAGGCGCTCCTTTACAGGCGACGGAAAAGAATAACAGAGCGGCTAAAAGAGGTCAATATATCTGAAATGCGCAGGGAGACACTGGTCAGAGAAATAGCAAGCATCGAACTTAAGCTAAAAGAATCCTTTAGGAGTCAGAATCGCGGGAAGAACTAAAAGCCATAAATGAAATCGAAAGAAACCCAAAGTATTTCTTCTCCTATGCCAAATCAAATCGAAACAACGTCCAGTATTGGGCCCCTACTTAAACAGATGGGTCCTACACAGATGACAGCAAGGAAATGAGTGAGCTACTCAAGTCCCAATATGACTCAGTTATTTAGCAAGCCGCTAACCAGACTGAGAGTCGAAGATCAAAATGAATTTTTTATGAGAGAGCCACAAAATTTGATTAACACAAGCCTATCCGATGTTATCCTGACGCCAAATGACTTCGAAACAGGCGATAAATGACATGCCCATGCACTCTGCCCCAGGGCCAGACTCATGGAACTCTGTGTTCATCAAGAACTGCAAGAAGCCCCTATCACGAGCCTTTTCCATCCTATGGAGAGGGAGCATGGACACGGGGGTCGTCCCACAGTTACTAAAACAACAGACATAGCCCCACTCCACAAAGGGGGCAGTAAAGCAACAGCAAAGAACTACAGACCAATAGCACTAACATCCCATATCATAAAAATCTTTGAAAGGGTCCTAAGAAGCAAGATCACCACGCATCTAAAACCCATCAGTTACACAACCCAGGGCAACATGGGTTTAGAACAGGTCGCTCCTGTCTGTCTCAACTATTGGACCACTACGACAAGGTCCTAAATGCACTAGAAGACAAAAAGAATGCAGATGAAATATATACAGACTTTGCAAAACCCTTCGACAAGTGTGACCATGGCGTAATAGCGCACAAAATGCGTGCTAAAGGAATAACAGGAAAAGTCGGTCGATGGATCATAATTTCCTCACTAACGAACACAGAGAGTAGTCGTCACAGATAAAAGTCCGAGGCAGCTACGGTAAAAAAGCTCTGTTCCACAAGGCACAGTACTCGCTCCCATCTTGTTCCTCATCCTTATATCCGACATAGACAAGGATGTCACCACAGCACCGTGTCTTCCTTTGCAATGACACCCGAATCTGCATGACAGTGTCTTCCATTGCAGACACTGCAAAGCCCCAGGCAGACATCAACCAAATCTTTCAGTGGGCTGCAGAAAACAATAGGGAAGTTCAACGATGAGAAATTTCAATTACTCAGATATGGTAAACATGAGGAAATTAAATCGTCATCAGAGTACAAAACCCAATTCTGGCCAAAAAATAAAAGCGAAACACCAACGTCAAAGACCTGGGGGTGATCATGTCGGAGGATCTCACCTTCAAGGACCATAACATTGTATCAATCGCATCTGCTAGAAAAATGACAGGATGGATAAAGAGAACCTTCAAAACAGGGAGGCCAAGCCCATGAAAGAACACTCTTCAGGTCACTTGTTCTATCTAGGCTGGAATATTGCTGCACCTAACAGCACCTTTCAAGGCAGGTGAAATTGCCGGGCCTAGAAATGTACAGAGAACTTTCAACGCACGCAAAAACGGAGATAAAACACCTCAATTATTGGGAGCGCTTGAGGTTCCTAAACCCGTATTTCCTGGAACGCAGGAGGGAGAGATACATGATTATATACACCCGGAAAATCCTAGAGGGAACTAGTACCGAACTTGCACACGAAAATCACTCATTACGAAAGCACAAAGACTTGGCAGAAAGATGCACCATCCCCCCAATGAAAAGCAGGGGGGTCACTAGCACGTTAAGAGACCATACAATAAGTGTCAGGGCCGAGACTGTTTTAACTGCCTCCCAGCACACAAAAGGGGGATTACCCAAAAACCCCTGGCAGTCTTCAAGCTGGCACTGGACAAGCACCTAAAGTCAGTTCCGGATCAGCCGGGCTGTAGCTCGTATGTTGGTTTTGCGTGCAGCCAGCAGAAACAGCCGGGTTGATCAGGCTGTGATCCACCAGGGGTGGTCTCAGACCGGGCCCGGGGGCGTTGACCCCCGGAACCTCTCCAGGTAAACCCCAGGTTTGATGGTAATAAATAATAAGTAAAATTGGTTATTTTGTTGGAATACACTAACCCAAATTTAATTTTTTTCACAAGAGTGGCTCTCAAGTATTTGTTCCTGCCATCCTAAAATTTAAAACTATGCATTTACAAATTTTTATGAGTGGGCATTTTTGAGGGCTTTTTTATTGGTTTTTTAGTGCATGTTCTTTTAACACAGGTATTCTGTGAAGGGGCAAAAACTGATAAGAGTTGAGCTGGGTTGATAAAAGTAGTTTTTTTTAGAGTGGGGGTTATATTCAATTCTAGGCGATTCCCTTACATCTGTATCATACCCCCCAATAACAATACTTTGGGAAAATCCAGTCATTTCCCATTTTGCATAAAAGTAATGGTACATTTTTTTTTCGTGTGGCATTTTTTTTTTTACATTGACTTGCAATTTTTTCTCGCCTTTTCTTGTGCTAATGCTTTTTTCCCCGCTAGTAGTGATGAGCAGTTATGGGGTAAGTGTTGAGCTTCTGTTTGGGCTCGCTGCCATGCGGGAAAGGACTTAGAATGCAGTTTCCCTCATTGGGTGGTTTTGCACGTGCATGTATTCCTAAATTGTCAAAAATGAGCATATCACAAATCAAACCTCTATGAAACTAACAAACAAAAATTAGGAAACGGTTCATCACAGTTCAGTAGAAGAGTACTGTGTTAAGCCTGATCTCTTTCTTCAAATTCAACTGATCATTGATTGAAAACTGACACACTTGAAAGGATTTTGTTGCATTCCCATTGTCTCTGCTGCTGCCTCAAACTTGGAGTTCTTTCTTCTTTCAACGCACTGACTGTATCCCACTGAGGTAGGGTAGCCCAAAAAGAAAAAAGTTTATCTTTTTAAAATTTAGTAATATATACAGGAGAAAGGGTTACTAGCCCCTTGCTCCTGGCATTTTAGTTGCCTCTTACAACGTGCATGGCTTATGGAGGAAGAATTCTGTTCCACTTTCCCGTGGAGATAAGTGGAAATAACTAAGAACAAGAACTAGTAAGGAAATAAAAGAAAACCCAGAGGGGTATGTATATATAAATGCTTGTCTATACATGTGCAGTGTGACCTAAGTGTGAGTAGAAGTAGCAAGATGTACCTGAGGACTTCCATGTTTGAGACAGAGAAAAGACACCAGCAATCCTACCATCATGTACAACAATTACAGGTTTCCATTTTACACTCACTTGGTAGGACGGTAGTACCACCCTGGGTGGTTGCTGTCTACCAACCTACTACCTAGGATGAGTGACATATCAAGTGATAAGAGTGATGGAGATTAGTCTCTCAAACACAATGCAAAATGCTTGGTGAACTCTTAGCATGGAACAAGACTGTTAAAGTATCTTTAACCCATCCAGGAAACAGGTTGGAGATTTTGAAAAGAAGCGGAAATTCTCTGAATGCGTATGTTTTTTGCACTATTAATTTTTAACGTGTATTTGGTTACACTTTTGTGATCACACTGAAAGAAATGCACTGCAATGTGCTTCTTACTAGTCTGCTATGTCTTATAAATAAAATGAAGTCTAATGCATGCATTTATTTACTTTTAAGTTAATACTAAAAAAGTCATAGAACAGGAAGAGCAAAATTGCTGATAGTCTGTGCTGATACATTTATTTTATTTGCTGGTCTCCATCCATGCAAATGACTAAAAAAATGATGGTATTTAATGTTTATCACCTGTGATAGTATATTAACACAAAAACATTATTTTTTTTTTTTTAGGGCTTCACTTGTTTGCAGCCCTGAGTTCTTGGACAGTAAAATGAGCAAAATCTCTAAAATAACATACAAATGTCAATGCCTCCAAGCAAATTTTGATAGAGCCCTTATGCATTAAAGAGCATTTTCTATAAAAGGCCCAAAGATAGAATACAGGAGAACATTCTAATGGTATTCTATAATGAAAACTTCTTATGCTTCCCAGTATTTGAAATTGTGTAAAGCGAGTGTTGTGTGGTTATGTTTAAGAACATAAATGTGATGAAGTAATTACTGATGAAAAATTATCTGGAAGTGGCTGTGGGATGTGCTCCATACAGCCAATGCCCAGATACATACACAGTAAAAACCAGACTTGGAAAGCCTTAGAGACCATATTAAAAAATATACATATTCTATAAGAATGGGACAGGGGTCTAATGTCCTGTTTTCCCACATAAAATTGACAGAACACCTGGTGGACTGGAAGAATGCTGTAACATTAACATCTAACAAATCCATCGTCGAATGCAACAATTTTGAGTCTCGTCTCATCAAAGCATGAATTGCAGTGTACCACTTATATGGGCCCAGGTATGTATAATTTGGATAACTTTATGGCCCAGAACTTAGCTCACAGCCTATAGGACAACTCTCGTTCATAACGGGACATGCGTGCAATGTCGGATCTGAAAATGTTGACAAAAAATTACAAATAATGACTCCATGAATCGTACAATCCTTATACATACATGCCACTGCAGTTAATGCTCTGCAGATGGTATATGCCTGTAGCAGTAGTCATCCAGTGGCACATGTGCTTAATAATATACTGCGAGGTATTAATCTAATAAAAACTACCAAATACTATGGCATTTTAACATCTTTCAATTTAATTTAGTCTTCTAATTTTGTGTCCCTTGTAGCTAATTGCATCCTGTGATTCATTTTTTGTTTTATCTTTGGTGTGGTTTCATACTCGTGAACCACAGTATGCTTCAGTGTGCTTAGCTATAAAAAAAAAATTACAACAAAGATGGCTATTGCCATTCATTTCTTTATTAAATAAATGCTCATGCTTTAGTGGTCTACAGGTGATAAGCATTCTGATTGGTATCACTGTACAGCAACTGTTTACTTTCTTTCCAGGCAAGCTTACACTAAAATATCAACATAAGCTATCCATAACTTTTGTCCTTGTTCTTCAATTTGTTAGTACTGTATTTACGAACATGTAATTTTGTGCATGCATTGGACTTTGTTTTTGGAACCAGTTTCAGTTTTTAGAAGAAACTATAAATGAAATTTACAAATTGTGGGTTACTTCTGAATTGCCCCAGTCATAACATTGTGACCTATTCAGCTTCATTTTGTTTATATGGTTGTTCCCTGATTAGCAATTATGATGTGTTTCAGAGAAATGGGTTGCTCAGCAATTATTACACCTTAATGAATCCCAGTTTCTCATAGACGCTCATGTTATAATTGACGATGTGTTCAGTTGAAACATTCCAACACTATAATAGAATCCTGGCTTGTCAACATCTGGGTTACAAACACTTAAAAGTGGTATACTTTGTAAATAAATATCTTATGAACCCTGATCTACAGATACAAGCATTCAAATAAATCTTTTTCTAGATATTTTTTGTTGTTGTTTTTTCACCATATGCAGTTGTAAATTTATGGAATGTTCATTTTCTGTATAAAGAGGACTCATATTTGTTAGGTAATGACTGATCTTGTTAAAGTTTATTTCTATGTACAGGTTTCCCTTCTGTATACTGTTTCACTTTGTGCCAGTTCACTTCGATTCAGTAACCTTACCTCTACTGTTAATTTGCTACATGTGGCATGTGACCCAAGGTTGGACTCTGGGAGTAGAAAAACTCTTAGAACTCTGATCAGAAGTATGAAGTTGTCCAAGCTCAGCACCACTTGATGTTTAAGCACATGTTGTTAACCCTTTCAAGGTCTGTGTTCTAGTACTATGGCTTTGAGCTCAGGGACTGTGCCATAGAATTAAGTGATGAGCTCAGCTTGCTCAGATAAGCAGTGAGTGTAAATTTGGGCCTAGATATGAGAGAATGGGTCTGTGTGGTGAGTGTGCACCATATAAAAAATCCTGCCCCATGCAGTGCATGTGGGGGGGGGGGGGAACTATGGCTGTGACTTTGGTTTAAAATAGCAACTTTGCAGTGTATTTTTGAATGGTTTTTGTGGTTGTATTCCCAGTTTCTTGGTATCATTTGATGGAGTGAACAATATATTTCAGAAGTAAAGATGATTTTGGTTGGTTTCGGGAATGAAAGTAACTTTAAATTGAGCTTAGTATAGCGGAAATGTTTGATTTTTGCTGATATTCCAGAGGACAAATTATATCACTCATCCAATACGCATCTAATGGGTCGGTCTGATAAGCTTTCAAGAATGTTCTGACATTATTTATCCAGTTTTTCAATAATGCATTATCCTGCATATCGGTAAATCTTATGTTTTTTGTATGCATAAAAATTCAAAATGGGAAGTACAATGCCTGCATTTTAATCCTTTCAGGGTCGAAAGGTCCTCTCCTAAACTTGTTCTCAGGGTCGAAAACTTTTCAGAAAAAAAAATATTTTTCCTTATGAAATGATAGAGAATCATTTTCCGATCATAATGACACCAAAAGTATGAAATTTGATGGAAAACTTATGGAATTATGCTCTCGCAAAGTTAGCGATCTCGACGATGTTTGCACATCAGTGATTTTGCCCACTTTGAGCCCTATTTTCGGCCAATTCCAGTGTACTAGTCGACAAAAATCATAACTATTTTGCTAGAACTCCATTTTTTGTATTGAATGAATACAAGAAACCACCTATTTACCGATTTCAACTATCCAATAAAGTGGTCAGAAATTGGCAATTTTGCCAATTTCACACAAATTTCAAAATATGCCAATTTCCAAATAGGGTCCAGAATAAACAAGACAGACATTCTTGGCACTAAAATAACATTTTCTCTGTTCATTAGTCACATCCCCATGACCCTCTTACATTTCTTTTCCTTTTCACTTTGAATTTTTATTCTCACAAAAAATAGAAGATTTACTGTTAGGCAGACTACTGCATTAGTGTAGAAATGTTATAAATAATATCAGCACCTTGTAAAAAAAATATTGACCGCATTTACGTGTATTGGACGGGGGCATGATTTTTTTACTTTTAACTTTGGGGAAAAAATTGACATTTCTGCGCTTTGACTCAATTTCAAGGTACTTTCATTGTGAAACCAAACAAAATCATTCAATTTCTGTAAATGTGTTTCCATTCTAAAAAATGAGGTCGGGAAAAACTAGAATAAAACCCAAAATCCCATACGAAAATACACTGAAACGTCATTTTTTTAACCCTTTTGGGGGCGACGGGCCCCTCCCCGAAACTCGTTTGGGGGCGGCCCCAAATTAAAAAAAAAAAAAAAATTTTTTTCTCTTATAAAAAGATAGGAATTTTTTCCCCAATCAAAAAGACCCCAAAAAGTTTAAAATTTTGATGGAAAATTAGGGAAATTTATGCTCTGGGAAATTAGTGGTCTCGGCGATGTTTACGCATCAGCGTTTTGCCCACTTTGATCCATTTTGGGCCAATTCCACTGTACTAGTCGGCAAAAAATATGAATATTTCGCTAGAACTCCATTTTTTCTATCGAATGGGCGCAAGAAACCACCCATTTATGAAATTCAACTATCCAGTACAGTGGTCAGAATTTAGCAATTTTGCCAATTTCATACAAATTAAAAAGATGCCAATTTCTGAATAGGGTCCAGAATAAACAAGAAAGACATTCCTGGCACTAAAATGACATTTCCTCTGGTCATTAGTCACGTCTAAAGGCCCCTCTATATTCTTTTGCTTTCCACTTTGAATTTTTATTCTCACAAAAAAAGTAAGATTTACTGTTATGCAGACTACTGCTTTTAGTGTAAAAAATGGTATAAATATTATTGGCGCACTTGTGAAAGAATATTAGACTCACCAGTTGACGTGTATTGGACCATTGGCACGATTGTTTACTTTTGAAATTTGGTAAAATCGAACATTTCTGCTACTTTGAGCTCAATTTCAAGGTATCTTTCATTGTAAAACCAGTCAAAATCATCTCAATTTCTGTAATATGTCTTCCATTCTATAAAATGAGACCCAGAAAACTAGAATACAACAATAAATACCATACGAAAATACAGTGCAAAGTCGCTGTTTTATTCCAAAAAAACGGTCCAAGTTTTTTTTTTCTCATTATGCACTGTGTGCTGCAGGACTTTTTTTAGACTGTGCACACTGACCACATAGATCCATTCTTTCATATGAAGGCCTACCAGCTTTCTCCCACTAGATTTGAGGGTGTTAGAATTTAGGCGTACTAGTACGTCAAAAACCCTGGGTCGTAAGCCGTACTAGTACGTCCAAAACCCTCAAAGGGTTAAACGAAAAACACGGTCAAAGTTTTTTTTTTCTCATTATGCACTGTGTGCTGCAGGATATTTTTATACTGTGCACACTGACCACATAGACCCATTCTTTCATATGGAGGCCTACCAGCTTTTTCTCACTAGATTTGAAGGCGCTAGAATTTACTCATATTAGTACGTCAATAACCCTGGTGCATAAGATGTAGTGTACCAGTACATATGTCGGAAACCCTGAAAGGGTTAAAGGAGGGACTTCTGAAGTGCCGTATCTGAGTGCCTCTGCAAAGACAGTGATTATGTATGAGTGAGGTGAATGTGTTGAATGATGAAAGTTTTTTTTTTTTTTGTCACCCTGCCTCGTTAAAAAAATAAATAAAAATGGAAAGCAAGTGTAATATATGAGAGGTACATATCTAATGAACAGAGGAAATGTTTTAGAAAGAGGAATGTCTACATTGTTTATTCTGGACCCTATTTTTAAATTGGCAATTTTTTTTATTTTTTTTGTGAAATTGGCCAAATTACTGATATGTGATCACTTATGGGGTAGTTGAAATAGTTAAATGGGCAGTTTCTTGTACTCGATCGATAGAATAGAAACTAGTTTGGTCGACTGGAACAATGGAATTGGCCTAAAGTAGGATGCAAAGTGAGCAAAGTCGTCTGTGCACAAATATCGCCCAGACCATTAACTTTATGATAGTGTAATTTCACGAGTTATCCATAAAATTTTGTATGTTTGGTGTCATTACCTTCACAAAATCATTACCATTTCATAAGAAAAAATATTTTTTGTTTTTAAATTCTTGGACCCAGAGAGCAATTCTCAGATCTGGGGTCTGGACCTTCTTCTTATGACCAGAGCTTTGGTAAGATGGGTAAGGAAGAAGGATGGGTAAGGATGGAAATATTGGAAAAGGGTGGGAGGGGGGAGAGAGGTAGGATATAAAAGGTAAGTGGCCCAACCACTTTGGTGTAATTTAAAAAGTGTATGTGAAATGATAAGATATTCTTTAAGGGGTATAATACTAACCCATCAGAGTCACATAGATATAACAGATATATAAGTACATGACTCTGAATTGGTAGTAATTATACAGGTTGCAATTGCTTTTTTTTTTTTTTTTTTTTTTTGCGATTGCAC